AAAAAAAAAAAAAAAAAAAAGAATACAGCTGGTTACCATCCAATGTGATATATTTTAAGACAGATACAAGCACAAGATGCTCTGGGAGCACAGAAAAGGGGTACCTGACAGTCACGGGATGGAAACATCAGGTGATACCTAAGCAGGAACTATGAAAGACGAGGAGAAGAAGCTATACTGGTGCCCAAGAGGCACCTCCCCTTTGGTGATTCTCAATCAACAGTAATTTCCAGACCAGGCACAGAAATCCCAGCACTTTGGGAGGCCAAGAAGAATGGATCACTTGAGGTCGGGAGTTCGAGACCAGCTTGGCCAACATGGTGAAACTCCATCTCTATGAAAAATACAGCAACGTGTACAAATGCTATTAGACAGGAAAGAGCAGAATAGTTTAGGGGAGGTGCAAGTAATTAAGAAAGATTCAAATGATAAAACAAGAAAAAAAAAAACAAAAAGACTCAAATGAAGCATAGGTGGGGGATATCAGCATGTGAAGATGTCAAATAGAGGAGGAAAGGCCAGAGCTTGAAGGATCTTGACTCCAAATATTTGGGTTTGATCCTCAAAGCTATGAAAGCAGATTTGTTTCAAAAGATTACTCAGGGGTCAATGTAAACACTGGAATAGGGAAGTGGGAAGCACTGGAGGTGAAAAAAAAAAATCAAAGAACTCTTCTAAAAAACAAAACTTGGCCAGGCGTGGTGGCTCACACCTGTAATCCTAGCACTTTGGGAGGCCGAGGTGGGTGGATCACCTGAGGTCAGGAGTTCAAGACCAGCCTCGCCATCATGGTGAAACCCCATCTTTAAAAAAAAAAAAAAAAAAAAAAAAAACTCACCTACTGTCAAGGCTTGAATCTGCAACAACCTGAAGGCTTTCCAAAGATGACCCATCATTTACATGCAGGAACAAGACTTCCTTCTGAGATCGGACAGAACGAACCCATCCCTAAGGAAGAGAAATATTTCTAAGGCAAGCATAAAACATTTTACATTTTCATTACACATCACATAGAAGACTAAATGAAAGAAAAACATGTTCTCACAATCCTGCCTCAACAAATCAACTTCTTTTAGTTTACCAATATGCATACTTAATTTTGTATGTTCCAATCACAGTGAGATACACATTTTGGTATTCTATGTTTTGTTTTCATAATAAAGCATAACATTTTTAAATGGATGCCTAATATTCCTTCATGTTGAGGAGCCTAAGTCACAGAACCAATCCTCCTAATATTGGCAATTCCAGGTCCTCCTAGCCCCCGGCCCAACAATAAATAACAGGGCACATATCCTGGTGCCTTTCTCAGGATATGGGACGCACCCTTATTTCTGGTTTCACTTCGCATGCTGCCCAGAAGGAACTTCCTCTTTGGTGATTCTCAATCAACAATAATTTCCAGGCTGGGTGCAGAAATCCCAGCACTTTGGGAGGACGAGGAAAATGGATCACTTGAGGTCAGGAGTTCAGAGCCAGCCTGGCCAACATGGTGAAACCCCATCTCTACTAAAAACACAAAAAGTAGCTGGGTGTGTTAGCACTCGCTTGTAGTCCCAGTAACTTAGGAGGCTGAGGCAGGAGAATCGCTTGAACCTGGGAGGCAGAGCGATCCGAGATCACCTCACTGCACTCCAGCCTGGGTGACAGAGCGAGACTCCTGTCTCAAAAACAAAACGAAACAAAACAAAAAACAAAAAAAAACCCTAATTTCCAAACTACCACTTTCTTACTTTTACTTTTTAGTAAAAGTTAACATGTATTGAGCACTTTGTAATGTGTTCCTATTCGAAGCTCGTTATAAATATTATGCTACTTAATCCTCAGAACTTAACAAAGTGGTTATCACTTATCATTTTAGAGCTGAAGAAAATTATTTAGAGATGTCAGGATAATCTCTCTAAATAGTCCAGGACACAGTGACCAATCAGTTGAGTTGGGATTCAAAAGCAGTTCTGACTTCAAAGTTCATGTTCTTATCAACGAGCTTTTCTGAGATGCTATTATAATTCTGCCCCATCCCCAGTTCCTCTACCTAGGGAACATACCCTTCAGGACTTTGCTGAAATGTCACCTAATGCAAGATATCTTCCTCAACCTTCTCAGTAAGTAACTTCCTGTTTTCTTATAATTCTTTACTTATCTTACTACCAATTATCATATTGCTATAATTATTTGTTTTAACCATTGGAAAAGGGCTGTCCTACCAAAATATAATGTGAGTCATGTGGGTAATTAAAAAAATTTTTAGTGGCCACATTAAACATAAAAACAGATGAAATTAATATTTTTACTTAACCTATTATACCCCAAATATTATCAACATATAATCAATATAAAACCATATTGAGATATTTTGCATTCTTTTTTGTTCTTCAAAATTGGTTACGTATTTTACACTTACAGCACATCTCAGCCAAACTTCAAGTGCTCAGAGCCACAAGTGACTGGTAGCTACCATATTAGACCTCACAGGACTAAAATGAAATCCTCCAACCTGGGCAGCAAGTTCTCCTTCCATCTTTGAATTTTCTCTTGACTAGCACACAAAGTATCATTAATGTATGCCCAATTAATAAACCAAGAGACCTATGGAAAGAATATGGAACTCAAAGAAATGCAGAGACGCAGACTGGTCACACTGCTAAAAAGCAAGGATATGTGAGGACAACAAAAATAACTTCAATAGCAAGCCATGACTGTTCCACTACACTCATGGGTGACAGAGCAAGAATCTACTAAAAAAATAATAAATAAATAAATTAAATAACCGTATCTGCCGGGCTCACGCCTGTAATCCAAGCACTTTAGGAGGCAGGACTGCTTGAGTCCAGGAGTCCGAGACCAGCCTGCGCAATATAACGAGACTCCACCGCCACACAAAACTTAAAAATTACAGCGTGGTGGTGCATGCCTGCAGTTCCAGCTACTCTGGAGGCCAAGTTAGGATTGCTTGAGTCTGAGAGATGGAGGTTGTAGTGAACTGAGATCACGCCACTGCACTCTAGCCTGGGTGACAGAGCCAGACCCTCTCTCAAAAAATAAATAACCACATCAGTGCACTTCAGCAACCTAATAAGAAACAGTCAAACCGCTTTGTTTATTCTGCTTTTCTATGTGGAGCTGCTGCAAATAATTAGCTAGAGAAATAATAGCTGCTAACATTTGTAGACTATGGGCCACTGTTCTAAATATCTTATTTTCATTACCTCATTTAATTTTCAGGACTCAGGGACAATTACCTCTATTTTCCTAAGATGAAAATAAGTTGTAGAGTGCATAAACGCTATGCAGATTTAAACCTAAGCAGCTTAACTCCAGAGCTCTTTCAAACTGCTACATTCCACTCTTTCTTCTAATTCATTAAAAGTAAATTACATGCACAGTCCCACTTTAGGCACTGAGGTGGCTAGAAGTTTAAAAGGCACAGTTTGGTTGAACAAGTATTTGCTGTCAGCCATGTGTGAATACAAAGGCAGGTAAGACACGGTTTCTGCTCTCAAGGAGCTAAGTCAGACAAGCACTTCATAACCCTGGATACTCATTATAAGGAATAAAGGTAGAGAACGGGGGCTCGTCCGTTTACATCTTTTGGTATGATTAACAAGTTACAGGTAACAGCCAGGAATCATGAAAGCAAAGTTCCAGCGCTTTACAGTCACCGGAACAGTTTTGTGAAAATGGAAAGCAAAGTGGAAATCCGCGACGCCTACCTAACTTTTCCCTGCTGGTGGTTCTGTCCGACCCGACCGCAAAAGAAACGCTACATGTGGATGTGCTATGTAAGTCCCTACAAGAAAAAACCCATACCCTTCCCATTCACCAACCTGGACCTTAACACGTTCCTCACTCGCGTTCTGGGCCCTGAGAGCGTCCCGCACGCTCAGTTTGGCTGAAGGTTTGTGCCTGGGGCAGGGGGCAGAGGAACAAAAGCGCACCGCCCGGAGCAAGCAGCGGGCCCCCAACATCGTGCGGCCGCCCTGGCCCTCCGCGAGAGCAGCCCAGACGTCGCGGTTCGAACGCGCCTGCGAGGACCCTCCCTTCTCAGTGGCTGCCCTTCCGCGGCTACAGCTCGGCTATAAGATGCTCCAGAACCCTCCAGCTGCACGCTTTCTCCTTCGGGACTCCCAGCTGTCCCCACAGAACCTTCCGTTTCCCTCTCTTCCCAACGGGGCGGAACAGACAGGATACTTGGCAAACGCCAGAAAGAAACCAAGTGCAGTAGGTAACTGGAGCGCCCCACTGCCCGCGACAATTCTAAACCTACGTACCGACCCCAGGCCGCAACATGCGCGGCCCCTCGTACGTCACCACGCCAACACTGCTTACATCAGCACGCTACGGCGAATGCGGGAGAGCATGCGTAGTTGTGACCCAGGCATAGGAAAGTGTGCGGGAGGGGGCGGGGTCAGGAGCGGAGACGGGGCGGAGCTAATGCCTTAAGGTTATAGGGATTATCGCTGAAAGAACCAGGGAGCACGTTGGGGTGGGGTCTGAGGGTCTTCATTTCTACAGTTTCCAGGTGAGGCTGAGAAACTGAAAGGCATGTAGTGACTGATGGAGACGGTTTCCCTCTCCATCAGTCAACAACTAATAGGGATCCAACTAAGTGGAGGCTCTTAGCTGTTGACAGGATTTTTGCTTAAAGAGGTCAGTTGTTCCAGAGTTCTCCGCAGAGAAAAATCAGACATAGCCCCTCTGCGCCAAGTCACAGTTGTGTGGTATCAGACAGCCAAACAGACAATTGCATAAAAGGGTGATCAGTTGCCTGACAACGCCTAAGCATAGGACTCCAGAGGTGGCTTCCTGGAGAAGGTAGTCCTCTGACAGGTACATAAGAGGAACTGGAGGGACCTTGATACGGCAGGCAGAGAAGGCAAGACGGTGGAAAGATGTCACAGAGACTGGAGGAATGCCAAGTGTTACCGGCCAGAATCTTCCAAGTCTCCCTCTTCCCTCCAACACAGCTATCTGCATTTGTTTGACCTGGAAACAATGATCCTTTTACATATTAGGCTACCTTTTAATTTACCCAAAAAAAAAATTTTTTTTCTGTAACTCAATGACAGGAAAAAGTTTTTATCTAATTTAAAAAATAAAACGTGGCCGAAGCGGTGGCTCACACCTATAATTCCAGCACTTTGGGAAGCCGAGGTGAGTGGATCACGAGGTCATGAGTTTGAGACCAGCCAGGCCAATATGGTGAAACCCGTCTCTACTAAACATAGAAAAATTAGCTGGGCGTGGTGGCGCGCGTCTGTGATCCCAGCTACTTGGGAGGCTAAGGCAGGAGAATCGCTTGAACCTGGGAGGTGGAGGTTGCAGTGAGCCAAGATTGCACTACTGCACTCAAGCCTCGGTGACAGAGAGAGACTCTGTCTCAGATAGATAGATAGATAAATAGATAGATAGATAGACAGACAGTAGTTTGGCCAAGTACAGTGGCTCACGCGTTTAATCCCAACTGTTAGGGAGGCAGACGCAAGAGGGTTGCTTCAACCCAGGAGTTTGAGACCAGCGCTTGCACTTGCTCACTTTCTCTCTCTTTCTTTCTCACTTTTACCTTAAAGTTGCCACTATTATTATGCCCATTTTACAAATAAGAGAACTTAGACAAGAAAGGCTAGATGACCCACTTAAGGATAAGTGTGAGATTTAAACCCAGAAGGGCTGGCTCTATGCACTAAAGCATTATGCTATATTATACAGTATCCCAAGGTGGAAATGAAATCATGGTCCCTTCCATCAAGCAGCTCATGCTTTAGAGTTGGAGACAAGTAAGAAAAGAGACTACTGAAATATAAATCAGTAACTGCACACATAGATGTATGAGTTGTTCTGCATTTGTTTGGCCTGGAAAAAATCACCCTTATATATTCGGCTACCTCTTACATTTCTCCAAAAAAATTATTTTGGAAGGCCGGGGGCGGTGGCTCACGCCTATAATCTCAGCACTTTGGGAGGCCGAGGCGGGTGGATCACGAGGTCAACAGATCGAGACCATCCTGGTCAACATGGTGAAACCCCGTCTCTACTAAAACTACAAAAAATTAGCTGGGCATGGTGGCGCGTGCCTGTAATCCCAGCTACTCAGGAGGTTGAGGCAGGAGAATTGCCTGAACCCAGGAGGCGGAGGTTGCGGTGAGCCGAGATCGCGCCATTGCACTCCAGCCTGGGTAACATGAGTGAAACTCTGTCTCAAAAAAAAAAAAAAAAAAAATTATTTTGGATATTTTATCCAAATATTAAATTGGATAAAATATAAGATTATTATACATTACAATATATTTTATGTAATAAAAATGTGCTCCCTGATTCTATATAATAAAAAATATAATAAAATTATAATTATAAATGATAAAATTATAATATATTGCATAAAATATAATATTAGTCTAGAGGAGACAGTTAAGCTGAATTTTTGAGGAGAATCAATATTTTGCCAGGTAGGCATGTAAGAAAATTTCCTGCCAGAAGGTGGACAGGAAAGGTTGCCAAGAGGAAAAATGCCCTGGAAAAATTGTAAAACAATTCTCAAGACAGGCTAGAGGGCGGAAGTGAGGACTCCAACAGCAGTGGACAAACATTTCCCTTTCCTCTCAGATTTCTCGCACCATGGCGGCCCCTGCCCAGCAGCCTACTCAGCCTGGCGGCGGGAAGCGCAAAGACAAGGCTCAGTATGTGTTGGCCAAGCGGGCTCGGCGCTGCGACACTGGCGGGCCCCTTCTGCTAGAGCCCGGGCTACAGGGCATCCTCATCACCTGCAACATGAACGAGCGCAAGTCCGTGGAGGAGGCCTACAGCCTGCACAACGAATACGGCCACGGCATGTATGGGCCGGAAAAGCTTACAGACAAGCATCAGCAGCCCTCTGGAATTGAGGGAGAAGATGGTGATGTGGAGGCTGCCTTGAAGAAAGAAGTTGGTGATATTAAGGCATCTACAGAGATGAGGCTAAGAAAATTCCAGTCAGTGGCAAGTGGAGCAAATAACGTCGTCTTCATCAGGACACTTGGGATAGAACCTGAGAAATTGGTGCATCATATTATCCAGGAAATGTACAAAACCAAGAAGAAGACGACTCGAGTTATTCTACGAATGTTACCCATCTCAGGCACATGCAAAGCTTTTTTAGAAGATATGAAAAAATATGCAGAAACATTTTTGGAACCCTGGTTTAAAGCTCCGAACAAAGGGACATTTCAGATTGTGTACAAATCTCGAAATAACAGTCACATGAATAGAGAAGAAGTTATCAGAGAATTGGCAGGAATAGTGGGCAACCTCAATTCAGAAAATAAAGTGAATCTCACCAATCCACAGTATACGGTGGTAGTAGAAATCGTCAAAGCTGTCTGTTGCCTGAGTGTTGTGAAAGATTACATGTTGTTGAGAAAATACAATCTCCAGGAGGTGGTGAAGAGCCCTAAGGATCCAACACAGCTTAACTCAAAGCAGGGAAATGGGAAAGAAACTAAATTGGAATCTGCTGACAAATCAGATCAAAACAACATAGCAGAAGGAAAAAATAACTAGCAGGTACCAGAGAATACGGAGGAGCCGGGGCAGATAAAACCAACGTCTAATCCGCAGGAGGGAGGAGGCAAACCTGAACTTGCAAGTGAAGCCACAGAAGGATCCAAGTCAAATGAAAATGCCCTCTCATAGGAGGTCATTTGGTGTTGAGGTGGGTTTTCCAACTGGGGTTCTGTGAGATGTTGCTGGGGTTACACCTGAAATTCTGACTAAAAACAGTTTTTTATTTGTGTGCTGCATTATGCTGTTCTCACAGTAGTGAACAGTGATCACGCAGCCCTGTTAACAGTTTTGTTAGGGATCTTTCAGCCCTCCTGGTATTATGTATAGGCAGACCCATGTGCTACTATTGCAAAGAGGGGAGGATGGGAGAAGGGGGATGTTGGCCTCTCCCTGGCTTCTCTTATGCAGCTGACTTATGGGAGTAAACTGTGAAGTAGAAAATCAGAAGGAAGTTTTCATTCTAAGGAAGGAATTTTTACATGCCACAACTTAGCTGTCCCCCTGCCACTTGGTTGTAAACACTGCAAAAATGTGGATTATGTAGGTTAGAAGTGAATTGTTTAGTGAAGTTTTTGGACTTTTGTGATTTTCTTGTTTGGCTATGTCTGTTTTTTGTTTGTTTTTTTAATTTTAATTTTAATTTTTTTTTTTAATAAAGACGGGGGTTTCACCATGTTGGTCAGGCTGGTCTTGAACTCCCGACCTCAGTTGATCCGCCCGCCTTGGCCTCCAAAGTGCTTGGATTACAGGCATGAGCCACCACGCCAGGCCTAGGTTATATCTGTTTTTATATTTTATTAACATTGGTGTGTAACAAAGCTGACAGTTCAGTGCTGCAATTCTGGAAGGCAAGATGTGAAAAAGGAGAACCATTTTAGGCATAGAGCTACAGACATTACTGAAAAAGTTGTTGATGAATTTCAGTCTTCTGAGTATACTTCAGTATACTAGCACAGCAAGGGACACAAAGAAATTCTGTCTTCATAACGAAAGCTACTTCTCAATGGTTTTATATGGACTCAGTCCAAGCTGTCCTGTCCCGTTGTGCGTTGTCTGTGGCATGCAACTTAGAAAACTAGCAGTTGTAACTAGAAATCATAGCCACCCGAGAAGAAAGGATATTCATTATTTTCAAATGGCTTTTGGATTAACAGTAAGGCTTTTGTTCAGAAACTACATTTAGTCAGAAGGTTTAGGAAGCAAATTATTTAGTAGCAGAACTTATCTCAGGAAAGGAAAATATGCATAGTTGGTGAGAATCTAATAATAACATTAAAATGCTGGGGCAAGATGCAGTACAAAATTGAAAAGACTTTATTCTCAGTAAGTTGATTTATTGATATTTCATGTGATACTAAAAAGATTTTGTATAATTAACTGAAAAGGTGCAGCTTCTCTATCCAGGATGATGAGTCAACAGGTTTCACTAATATTTGTCATGCTGTAGCATTTGTAACATTTGTAAATGATGAAATTTCATGATCATGGTATCTCCCCTGCCAGGTAAGTGTAAATGATGAAATTCAAAGAAAACTTCTTCTATTGCTAGGAGCCTGCCAAAACAAAGGCCAGTATATAATGTTGTGACATCATATCTGATAACCAGAGGTCTGTTATCTACATTCCTGGTGCCCCATCAGTGGTTGTTTCCATAAGTCATTTTGCGTTATTAAAAAAAAAAAAATCCTGATGACATTATAGCATACTGCTTTCTTCCCAGAGATGCTGATACCAAAAACTTGAAGATACAGTGATGTTCTGAATGATGCTGCAAAACTGGTTACCTGTATCAAAGACCCATTTATGCAGAAATGTTAAAAAAACACCCAAAACAAAAACCTGGACAAACAGCATATAAGCTTTCTGCATCATACATCCAGTGGCTTATCAGAGGAAGAATTCTCTACAGGATATTTGAGTTGAAAGGTGAATGCCAGAGTACTTACAAGGAAACAGCTTTTGCTGAGTGCTTTGGAAATAAAAAATGACTGGAGGAAGTAGTCTATTTAGTAGACATTTTTCATCACATGAACAAATGAATAAGTCTCTGAAAGGTTCTGGGGAAAAATTTTTTTCTTAAAGTGACAAGAGTCTTAGATCTAAAAGGAAACTGACTTGCCACTTTGCCAGAGGAGTTCTTGAAATGTTTCTGTAGTCACTTGGACTTGAAAATGAAGAGTACAACTCTCAAATCTTGCTATAACCCACCTGGAGTAACCATAAAACCCAGTTAAATAGCATTTTTTTCTCCTTTTCCCAGCACTAGTATATAACTGCATATGAAGAACTTTTTCTCTAAATCTGCTCAGCTTGAAATTTTGTCTCTGATGGAAGCGAATGAACACAGCCCTAGTCAGAAACAGTCCTAGGTTTCTGTGAAATAAGAGTATTCTTCAACTTAGTGCTCACACTCACATACAATGAGGGTTCCCCGCAGGGTTTTCCTGAATTTGAAAGTGTTTTCAAGGCCTATTTTTGGGTAAAGCAATTGAAAAAGGCAGACACCAACAAAGTCTGCAGAATAAACTCTCCAGATTAAGAATATTAAGGAGCTGTAAAGTTAGCTTGTGGAAATAGGCTTATCCTTAAGTTTTAAAAAGTTAGGAAGTAGTAAAAATGTTAGGCTTCCTGCACAAGTGGCTATGTTTATTTAATGGCTAGTGAACATGGGAATATATTTTGATCCTCCTAACTAGTGGTTCTGTTTTGTAAACCAGACTAGAATGATTTGAGAGGGGCAAAGATAATAGGCAGGACTTTCCTTCCATAGCTTTACGTATTTTGAATGTTAATGATGTTGAAGTTACCTTGAAAGGATTGATGAGGATTCTTTTCTTTTTTTTTTTTTTAAACCCCTGTTTCCCACCTTCGATAAGAGGATTCTTAATATCATTTAGGAGAATAGGGAGGATAGGATTTTGGTGCCTTCTTCAGCAGACTTGCTCCAAGACAAAGATTCTTTTATTTTGATAGTGTAAGACAAAAGGACTTGGGGAAAAATTGGCCATATGCCTACATACAACTTTGTGGAAGCTGCTACTCTATGGAATGATTTTGATTTTATAGTTTGTTTTTAATTGCCTTTTATATTTATTTGTATTTGGTAAGGCTCAGTAGTTACACAGGCTGTTCTTTCCCAGCTACAAAATCCTGTGCTTGGTTGTAACCTGAATTCATTAAAAGATTTGTTTTCAGGTTTATCAACTGTTTATTTTCACTGAAATTTGAACATGTTATTTTATAAATGATGAGGTTCCAGGGTAGGAAGTAAGTACTTTTTATTCCCCTTTAGTTTTTCTTTTTAAAAATGACGTCGGTTAAAAACAAAAAAACTGCAGTCTGTGGTTTATAAAACTTGTTTAGCTCCATAGAGGAAAGAGTATTAAACTTTGTATTTTGAAATATGTTTATCTAAGGTTAAACATGGTTTTCCAGTGTTATTTTTTACTTGTATTTTGCTTTTGGTACAGCCAAATGTCGAGCTTGTTTTTCATAGTTCCTGATATTTTCAGAAAAATGAAAATAAATTTGTTCCCTACAAATTGGTGTTCTGTAATTTTTCTTCCTTTCTGCCTCTTAGTAAATCTCTTTATAGTGTATATATATGTATATCATAAAAGATGTTTATATGTCAAATTATAAAAAGTCATGGACATGATCCTAAAAAGAAAGATATAAAAAATATATTAACTACCCTCAAATAATGAATACTCCTAAATCCAAGTTTCAGATATTTTACAGTTAATTTGCTTCAAAATGAGGTACAGTAATACAGTATGTAATTTCATTAAATTCACTTACTGAGTTTTAAATTATTTGTACTCATTTTAACAGTATTTTAATGTCTTGAAGTTTGATCTCATAAAGATGTTAAGCAGAAGAAATTGTCTTGAACATTTATCTTAGGATGTATATCTTGAATTAATCAGGCACAAGATAAATAAAAAGATTCACTGTGTACATTCTTTTTCTGAGTAATCATTTGATTCCTGTTATTTTAAACACTATATCATATTAATTTAAACACATTATCAATACCTTTGTCAGTTTGGTTCTTAAAACAACTTTCGTCCATATATTTTTAGACTTTTATTTACTTGAAATTTTTTAACTAAGTAGAAAACAAAACTTAAAGCAAAACAAAATGTCAACAAAAATTTCAACCAGGAAGGATTTTAAACATTTTAAGAGTAGTCACTGAATTATCAGGAACAAATAATGAGATAAAGCAATCATGTTACTACTTAACCCTCTAGTTTTCTTATCAAGCTATGTTTGTTCCCATTCTTGGTCTCTTAAAACGTTGTGTTTGATTTTCCCAGTGATTGTCTTTGGGAGTTCTTCAACAAATTCCACCTAACTGATAGAAAAACGTTGAGACGCTTGCTTCCATCCTTCCAGTTGTCAGTGCAATAGGAGACAGCTTGCATGAAATGCTGAGACTGAATTTTAGAGTTGAGATTATCTTAGCCTAAGCTCATTGTATCTCATGGACACCAGAAACTGGTCTGTTTATATAGGAAAGACGACAGTGTAGCTCCATCTTACAGGTTTTTAGTGCCAATTCACTTAAATGCTTGGCGACAAGAAAGTAATAATCCCTTTACCCTATTGCTTTCCCGTAGTTCACACTAGTCCTAGGTCTCTACTGTTCCTGGTAGATGGACACTACACCTAAATGCAAAAAGAACACTTCCTGTCTTCAGAGCTGGATCCTGGAGGTTTTGAGGAAGAGTTTTTAGGTATAATTCGGAAGATACACAGTTTTCTTGTCTGCCCTGAGTTGACCATAAAAATCCTCTTTCTGTTCTGTGAAAATAAGACTACTACTGTATTTTAAAATGCACTCAAACAGCCTTTCTGAAAGTGAAGGTCACTGATTTAGTGAATTTAATGGAGAAAATGTGAGTAGTTCTTAGGTTGATATCAACTACCTTTTGACTGAAATGATGCTAGCTGAAATAGAAATCTCATGCAGAGGATTAGTCTGTATAAACCAATTCCACAGAAGGAAACTACAAGGCCATCTTCATGTCTTTATATAGATTTGTTCTTAAATCCCTCTTTGAAGAAAGTTTCAGGAAAGATTCCATGGTTTCTTTGGATATTATCTTCTTTCTGAACATTAAACCCCTTTGAATTTATAGGGGTATTAGGGCCAAGAGTCCTGGGATAGATGAGTCAAGTGCTGTCCCTAAGCACAGGGCACTTGGCAATTCTTGGCTAC